AGATCGTATTTTTAACACTTTTTTAAATTTCATGTATTTTTATTAATTTTTCTTTCCCTTATTGTATCCTTTCGGTGCTGGCTCACTGTGGTCATATAGTTTTAAATGGGAGTCTCGCTGAAATTATATTGCGACATACGTACGGTCAACATGGAATTGTTCGTTCCGATTATAGTTATGAACATAAAGAGCACTTTGGCGAAACGAGCGAAACATTGTACACGTACAAGCGCTGGAACGATGGCCAGATAAAATAATTGAATGAGTCGTATTTTCGGGAAATCATCGTTAAACAAATGTTGGATAGTGTCTATAAAGTTTTATGAAAATCAAATTGGATTTTCAGATCCTAATGGTTTCTAAAATATATACTAGAACTTTACCGTGATAAGCTAGCGTAATACATCGAAGACAATATATTTAAAAGAAGTGGTTTGAAATTGAAACGCATCATTGTTAAGTTTTCTTTTATACGGGCGTGAACCATATGTTACAAATTACTTTGTACATTCGATGATATGAAAGTTGCAATTAAATAATAACACAGTTTGACATTACACTCCGTAAGGGAGAAAACACACACACACACACACACAGTATCAATTTAATCGATCGTTGTGAACGCAAGGCTCGCCTTGCACGCGAAAACGTTAACGTAGAAAAGCTGTCATAAGCCTCATAACACTTGCTATGTTCAATGTTCGACACGACGTCGTTACCGTCATTTTAATCTGATTTAAGGGTGTTGTACGAAATACCTGTTTCGCAACGTGTCAATTATAAACAGCAGAGATGTATACCGTGTAAGAAGGAGCGGCAGGACTTGACTGCCGTTTCGACCTCTGCATTTTACGATTCTGTGTATTTGATAAAACATGTATTGAAAAACGATACGTGCTACTCGATCGCGTATTGTAGCGTTAAGCTATTGACGACAGCTGGTTAATACGTATCGCTAACGTTACGGACTGGACGAACCGCGAGGAGATGGTCGAAGCCGTCGAATTACGATGTACGATGAATTTTATTAGCACTAATCGAACTGTACATACGCAGGAAAAAAGTTGTAGGTATTTTGTGTAAATGCAATTGTAAATATAATTATTCGAGCGATAGCGTAATCGCTTATTAATGACATTGTCATTCCGACAGCGGCGTGCACAAAATTATTATTTGTGATCTCGTAGTAATCAGTAATCATGTAATATATTAATGTATCAATAGCGTATTCATGTATGAAAATGTGTCTGTTTTTTAAGTTGCCGTCACACAGCAATACATATAAAGTTTACATCAGTCATTGAGAAAGTTTCTTCATATGCTATAGCGTCACATGCATTCCTTCCTTCGGTTCGCTTCTTCTTCCCTGACTTCCGGTTACGTTAAACTCGGTGCGATGAAAAACCGATGGTTAATGAACAAAACTTAATTTAACGTTGCTAGTATTGTGAAAAAACGAACTGTCTACAGGCATGTTCACGGAAGAGAAACCGAACAATGATCGTCGTTAATAAGATTCCGTCCATTGTTACACACAAAGGCACGAATACCGGCTGAAGCTCACCTTTGGGTCAGCAATGTGTGCGCGGTCAGTCGGTCGGTCGGTCGGTCGGTTGACTGTCGACTGATTCACCCATTTCCTATGTTCATACGTCTAAGTGCATATGTGCTCATGCATTGTCCTAAGTAATTAGGGTGATGGTGTGTTACACTGCTAAGGTTTCCTGTGAAATAGATACGTACACAGTAGCATCGGTTTTCGACTCGTTCAGAATGTTTAAACATATGTAGCATCCGACGTAATGCACGTCCCTTATGAGAATTGCCTAAAAGCAGCATAAATAATTTATTCTCTTCGTAGAACAAAATTGTATTTGGAGTAGGTATACAATTCCTGAAGTCTCGCGAAGCAGACACTCGATTAATCATAAGTCGCTTATTAAAAATGCGTTAAGGGTAGCGAATCGAAAACTTGAATAAAACCATGTTAAATGTATTCAAACGATCAATGACATCTATTATTTAACTTTTTTAAATACACGAAAATAGTTGGGCATTTATCAACTCGTTGGGGCGAGCCAATCTTTGGCATCTTCGAAGTTCAGACGTTTCACCGATTACGCTCGAATCGGATCAACGTTCACCTGCAGGCCTGACGAGCAGGTATACAAAGAGACGCTGAAGACGCGTGTCGGCGGCGGCGTCGTATGTCTGACAAGTCGCACGCATACACGCGGCGACAACAGGAACAACGAGAAGAACAAGAACGACGAATAGGAGCACGGCCGCGACGACGTTCACAAGAGCCGTGGTCGTGGTCGTCAGAAGTGCGGTTCCGAACGAGAAGAGATATCCTCCGGTTCGTGAGGGACCTATATAACAGTACCGCGTGTCTGGGTCAAGGGGCGGGCCGCCACGTTTATAGTATACTCTCTATATCGGACAGGTGTACCCCATTCCGACTCCACGAGTTCTCGCGTGCACCATCGAGCCCGCAGCCACGCCGTAACACGCGTCTTCCTAGCTGCCGCGACAGATATCAGTGGCGCATCGCGGTAAACACGAGGACATCGGTCGCACGGGCAGCTCCCGAGGACGCTTAACGAACCTCGAATCGGCCGCAACCGCTGGCATTTGTAAACGGCCTCTCGGGTCCTGCCTCCTCGCGCGTTCCCTCATTTCGTCCCCGTTTTCGCCACTGAAATCGGTCGAGATCAACCGACTGTGCTTTAGAGAGCCTCCGACCGCGCGGGTACGCGGAGATTTCTTGGCACATGGTGCTTCGATCAGTGCGGTGCGTCGTTCGAATCGTCCTCCACTTTTTCGTCGATCGTCTGTGACACGGAAACTGGAGAAACGAAACCTATCCATCCACGCTCGCCGACCTCCGCTTTCTGCTTGGAAAAACGTAAGGCATTTTCGAGCTCATCGCATCTGTTGTACTAACAATTCGTCGACGAGAGTAACTGACGATGCCCGATGGCAATCTATGTTCATCGTTACTCGTATATACGCGCGTTTAATTAGGTTTCAATCTCCGGTATGTCATTCTCCGATCAGATAACCGCTCCCATCCTCCCCTGGACGCATTTATTACACCGTACTACGAATTAACGAGTAATAATTATCACTTACCGAGGTGTAATCCAATTATCGTTAAACCGTTGATTAAGCTATTATCTACGGTAGAACCGCTGACGTCTATGTTTTGCTAATTAGTTGATAATGACAGGAGCAGCGATTCGCGGTTCGAAATTATATGGTACGCCGTACGATACGCACCGTGTTGCAGTGAACCACGTGGTGACCGCTTTCATTCTACATATCGAGTGTGCAGTGCACATGTACCGCAACAGTTGCCGGCTGTTAGAATCAATCTCACTGAGCTGCCACGGAAATCAGCAACCCATTTCACGTTTGCAATCAGTTACGATCGTTTCCTTCTCCATCTGTCACATTATTCTTCCGTCCAATAATACGTTACTTGGCTCGAACAGAACTCGTGGAAACAATCAATCATATTTTGATCGTCGAATCGAGATCGAGCTCTTGCATAAAGTCGTAGGCAAAAAGAACTCTATCGAGATACGTATAATTCTCGGGTGTGTCACGTAGACGTATCGAGCGATTAATAACAGCTAGACTCTCTATCTCGTTACTCGATCAGCATAATAGAAAGGTACAGCATAAGGCGGTCTTGTAAAAGGGTAATTAGATCGTGAATGACACCGGTCGTAAAATTTAACGCACTGGAAAGGAAAAGGTAGCCGGTATTAACGGTGGGCGATGTTCATTCATTGTGCACGTACCATGAATCGCGGTATATTTCTATGATCGATCAACAGTACGACTTCCTTACAACGAAAGTGCATCGAGTTGCCATTAAATTGTCAGTTTGCTTCGTTACGCTCGATTACTATGTATACGCTTCCTAGACAGAGTATTATAGATCATACGTACGACCCATGGACACGCTGTCGGTATATCACTAAAAGTTGTATTTCTCTCTGTAATAATAAACTGCGCTTCATCGATATTGATGATAATTTTTTAATGATCAAAATCATTTGTAATACGTAAAAACTTTCTAAAGTATCGATTAAAAAATAAAGGGGACGCGGAGACGTCGTTGGACCGTTTTCTATATAGGTCAGTATTAGGTACGCGCTTATTATGCGGATGCCTGACTTCGGAATTACCACACCGGTGGAACCGTTATATGTATTTGGCACCACGCCACATCTTCGACGTGCTCGATTCATGGTTAGCAGGGAACAACGGGTGTGTAAACAGCCGCCGGTAATTTTTATTCAAGCACAGGTTCATAGTGGAAGGAAGAACAGGTGTCACGGTCTATCGTGGCACGAATCGCAACGCGAGATAATAACTAATGTATGCCAGCAGTAAATAATAAGCACCCGTAACTTCGTTACGCTAACGGAATTCGTTATAGATTGCGATTTCTCAAGGGAACGTATTAATTATGCCGATGGACTTTGGGGCCGCGTGACGCGTAGCGAATTTTATCTGAAAAATTAGACGATACTGTGAATGACAAACTGAGATGTAAATACACGGTGAGATCGATCCGAACTTGACATGCATTGCTCGTAGCTTTTAGAAATTCCCGGGGCACATGGAATAGCAGATAAATGACCGGTTGAATCCGAAATCGGTGATTTGTCGCACGTAGATATTGGCTATCGTCTGACCTGAAAGCGCACGAAAATCTATCGGCAGGGGCACTTGAAACATTGGATCCGCGTAAGTGGATTCGGTACGTAAGCTGAAGGCCGATAGGTGAAAACCTACTTGCCTACATCGAGCGTCTCGCGCGCATCTCGAATTCATCGCACGATTATAGTGGATTGAGTTATCTCGCGATTTTATTCCGGCTCTCGGTACCCGAGAGACATATTCGACGTTAAAATCGTGACGGAGAGGAAAAAAAACGTTCATCGTCCGTATTTATTGTTCCGAGAATAAGGCATATATTTCATGAATGCGCGTAGCGTATGCACGTGACCGTTATTTAAGTACGGCTTGTATTACTCTTTTGATAAATTCGCACGCATGAGAGAGCACAGACACGGTATCGCGATCGTTTCGATAGTGAAATCGTTTTTCGTTCGTCCGCTGTTATTTTCCAGTCATAGCCGAGGGTCGATGATCGAGGGGACGCGACGTGATAAAAGTGTACGTGATTTTCCGAAACGCGACATGGGTTCGACGGGTTCGGTTCATACCTATAGTTGTCGATCGCGGCAGTCTGGTGTCATGGGTACAACGAGGTAACGGAGCGAAAACCCGGACATTCGGCAGGAATTTGGGACAGGTGGCCTAGTGGTCGTACGAGGCGAGCGTGCCTGATAATTGGCGATTAAACACGAGCGCGGCGTCCAATGATGGACCGGTTCGTTCGTTCGATGTTCACCATTTTCTACTCACAATTCTATGTCTCACCTATACCCTCATTCGAAATTCGAAATGGGCACAACTAAATGCTGCAGCGTCGCTTAATGTTTTTTGATCTCCTCGAATTATACTCACAGACTGCAATTAATTAGCTTCGAGGAAAGTGTAGAAATCATTTCATTGAACATTTTTAATGCTATTTATTTTTCATATAAATAAGTAATTAGTTGTATAAAAGAAATTATTCTTCCAGCGCCACGTTCGCAATACTCCACCGTGGACGCCAACACGGTATGCGGTGGCGAATCTTCATTTTAGCCTGTCTCCTATTAAAGGGGGTAAGTAAATTCAAATCTTATCCTCTACAATTTTTACTCTTTACTAACTTCATCGACAAAGAAAGAAATTTAAAAAAAGGACTGCGTTACGTTCATCAATTGCACGCAGTCCAAAAGTATTGCGCAAGTTTTTTGAACGACTGGGAGGTAAATGACCGAGACTGAAAATCGTCAGAAAAGAAAAACCTGTACGAAACAGGGAATCGTTAGTCAAAATTCATCCGGCGGCAAAAATAACGTGCGGCGACATTGCAAAGAGGGTAGGTCGGTATGTCTGCGTGGGTAATTACTACATTATAACCCAGATATCGAGGTGGGTACATAGCCTGCAATGCCGTTACCCAGTGCTCTGACCCAGAGCTAAGGGCGACTCGAGGCCCGGTCGATGTCTTGAAATGGTGCGCGGCGTTCCGATCCGGCTCATCCACGTCTACTACGAAGTAACGTTTTACCGTCGAGTGCCTTCACCACGAATCGGTCTTACAAGATTGCGCGCAAAAATCGTACACGAAACGACCGGTTCCGTGATCTTGCTTTCCCACCCATGCATTCATGCATTCTTAGGGTCCGACACGTTTTCAATTCGTCCATTACTTCTCTTCTCCATCACTGTTATACCAAATTCATTCTTACCGTAACAACATTCGTATGTACATTTTCGTGTCATCAATTAATTTTATTACCGCTCGTTATAGAAGGTCACTGAATAAAAAATACCATTCAGAAGTTTCGTTATTTATTATAAAGCGTGGCAAAAATACATATAAATTTGTTAAAATGTAAAAATATATTAATTTAATCATCACAATAATGAATTCACAGATAACGTAATTTGATAAAATCATTAAACAATTAATCGTTTATAGTATTCATCCCGATAATGAACGATTTTATACCTTTCGTAAGAAAGTAATTTAGTTTTGTACAACGTGAATAAGATAAAACTACTTCGTAACGGTAGAGCATGATCGTTCTTGTACAGTCTCGGGAGCACGGGATGAATGAAACGGAGTTAGAATGAATGAAATACCTTCCTAAGACGATAGAAGAAATTCTTGGAGATAGAGTTCCTCTTGAATGAACGATAATCATCTTTTCAAACTGTGATACAATCTTCTTCAATGGAATCAAATCGTAGAGTTTAATTACTAAGAATAACTCCGAAACGAGAACGATATAATGCGTGAACCATCGACTTCATTTCACCTGAAGGACGGTCATCGTCTTTTCCGGCGGAGCGCGCGGTGCCGCGGCCGAAATCCATAATGGGCGCGTTCACAGGTGACCCAGTAAGCTATCGTCGAATTATGGGACACGCCGGCCGGAGAGTCATGACGAGATAAGCAGATGTCGGAATCGGCGGAGGGTAGAGACGGGAAACCGAACGTGTACCCGAAGCGCTGGTGAGCCTGGCCGATTGACCTGCGGCTAAAGACACGGGTGGTCCGTTATGCCCCAGGGTCATGCGTGACGCAATCAGCCACTACACTCTGGTGTACGGGCCCCGATGCTCCTATTCCGTCGTTTGGTCGCCCCTCCTCGACCCTCCGAACCCGTCATTCGTCGAACAGTCAGAACGGGTTTGTTGATCAGAGACTGTTGTCTCCCGTATTGGTCATCAAGAATGCGCACGACCGGAGATAGCTCTTTGAGCGGATCTTCTGTCTGTGACAAGAGGCCAAGGATGAAAAATGCATCTCTTTTTGCCGGGTCGAAGCACTTTTATCTCTGTGCCTCTGCCCGCTTGAAATTGTGATTTCATGCTCATACCATGCGCCCAGAGTGAACGTACATTGTTCGCCTGCGAGAGTCACGATTTCTATTAATTCGATAAATAATTCCTATCATTAGAAGGGCTCGGATGATGCTGATTCGTGAGGCGCGAATCGTGATTAATGAAGCTATTTAAGCTACGTGGGTTTCGTGACCGCGTGTGTAACCAGCCGCAGCTTTCGTTCACACGTCCGAGGTACGGTTAATTCTTTCGTCAGGATCGTGCAGAGTAAATTCATGCGTCGTTACACGATAATTTAGGTGAATATGTATGCACGGGCATTCGCTGATTGCACCGGCGCGGCGAGCGCTCGTTCGGGATAAAGGCGGGCCGTTTTTAAAGAACTCGCACGTCTGCAAATTACGTGCAGCCAGACAACGTCAATCTACTTTCACGCTTTCTCATCGTTTACCCCTTTCCCCCGTACGGGCGTTCTACAAAATATTTCACTACCTACTTTGCATGGGAATACGTTCTCAGTAATGCGTTCCGTTTATATGTTCGCAGCTGGCTCGGACCGAGGACGTGGAAGTAGTCGAGGCAATCCCAGGAAAGGACAATCGGAACGACAATTCAGCTTTAAACCGGCAAGATAACGATATAAATAGTTCAGACCAGCTGGCGTTAGAATCGTTAGGAGAGAAGGATGCCGGTGGTAATCACTACAAATCGGGTCCTCTTCGGCATCCTCTTCCGCCGAATCGAGGAGGTTTGGGAATGCCGCATCCAAGGCCGCACCATAACGTCGCTTACCACGGCCCACCGCCACCCTTACCGCCGTCGAAAACGGTACCAGAAGCAATGGACAAGATCTATACTACCGGTGGCGGCATCAGCACAGCGGTAGGTGCCGAACCATGGCCAGCAGCCACCCCAGACATGCCGAAGATCATTTCTCTGGACGTGAAGTGCGAGAAAAATCTGATGAAAGTTTACCTCGGTTTCGATAAACCGTTCTACGGTATAGTCTTCAGCAAGGGTCACTACAGCAACATAAACTGTGTACACTTGCCGGCTGGCTTAGGGCGCACCTCGGTTAATTTCGAGATCAGCATTCACGCGTGTGGCACAGCTGGGAACACCGAGAATGGTTTATACGGGTACGGCGCCGAGTCCGGGTCGGGAACGTACTTCGAGAACATTATTGTGGTGCAATACGATCCACAAGTTCAGGAAGTTTGGGACCAGGCGCGTAAGCTGCGGTGCACTTGGCACGACTTGTACGAGAAGTCTGTTACGTTCCGTCCGTTCCCGGTCGACATGCTGGACGTGGTGCGCGCCGATTTCGCCGGCGATAATGTTGGCTGCTGGATGCAGATACAAGTCGGAAAGGGCCCATGGGCGTCGGAGGTCTCCGGGCTGGTTAAGATCGGTCAGACGATGACGATGGTGCTCGCGATAAAGGACGACGACTCCAAGTTCGACATGCTCGTGAGGAACTGCATGGCTCACGACGGCAAACGAGCGCCGATACAGTTGGTAGATCAGAGAGGTTGTATCACGAGGCCTAAGCTGATGTCGCGGTTCACCAAGATCAAGAACTTCGGTGCCTCTGCGTCGGTTCTCTCCTACGCCCACTTCCAGGCGTTCAAATTCCCCGACTCGATGGAAGTGCACTTCCAGTGCACGATTCAGATATGCAGGTATCAATGTCCAGAACAGTGCTCGGAATCTCCGTTGTTGCTGGAATCTCAGGGATTGCTGGAGAATCATCATGGCTCGTCGAACGGACACCCTGATTCCGGCTATGGTCCCCCGCCGCCCATTCCGCTTCCGTTGGAAGCTTACTTACAGGCGACCGCTGGACGCCCACGAGACGAGAGACGTAGGAAATCACGAGAGATAGTACCGACGCCGCAGAAGGCGGTCGGAGTAAATCGCATAATACGCGTTGTTTCCACGGGAGACTTGACGTTCTCCATCGATGAGACGAACAATGGAGAATCGAACGGGCCGACGATGGTTTTTCCCGTGCGTAATGAGAACGCATCGGCCAACGCTGCCATGATTTGCATGACTACCCCAGGTTTTGCTGTCACTCTCATAGTGCTTCTTGCTGTGTTACTGTCCTCGTGTATACTTTCCACCTACCTCTGTCTACGGTTAAGACCGTTCTCAGGAAAAGCTAGGAAGACTGCGACGTATTATAACGGAGAACAAAACGCGCCTAAAAAGTCGACGAGGTCGTGCTTCTACTCATAAGTAAAAACGATCGTAGCGTCTTGAAATATACGGCGCGCTGTCGATCGGTTCTACTTTTGCAGTGAAGAACCCTCGCATCGAGCAGGTTTCTTTCCCAAAACTAGTTCCACAATTTTCATACCATTCGACTATTTATACGAATAAATGTTGTGAATTATGATCATCGCTTTTCCGATATACTACCGAATTGCTCAACGGACTAGTGGTCAGATCTTTTTCTATACCAATGTATATGTTCTGCTAGCTTTTATTTTGTCTGCATTGTTAAAGTTCAATCTATTAGACGTCGCGCAAACCGGTCCTCTTGGCCGCGCCATTCCAGGTATCGTAGAGGCTACAGAATGTCGCAAGCATGATTCCGTATACCGGCACGTATCAGGCGGTGTATCGTTCGTAATAAAATAAATAGGATACTGTTCGCTACGTGTGCTGCATCTGTTTGATCAGAGAGTAATACGGATTTGTGCTTCGTCACGACGAAACATACGCTCAAGCCGTTATGTATAGACACTCAGAAAATTTAGTCAAAGATAATCAAACGTGACTGAATCGTCACAGATATTTCGGGACCGTGGTATTTGGGTATTTTCATTTTTAATTAATTGTTACCCGTCACGTATGTAACGATACGTGACTCGGTATGATTAAGGCTGAGATACTGCGAAAGAATAGTTTAGTTTTCAAAGAAAATCGTTTCTCTTTTTTAATATTATTTTTTATTATAATATTATTATTTAACGTTATTTATTTATTACTAAAATATGTTCCAAATCATTGCGGGTTCATTCGTTGCGTTTGCAATTCTACAAGAGCCAGTCATTCTCGTAAAATTTATAACAAAAAATTATCTTGGTTTGGACAATCTTACGTTTAAGGTAACATTAAATACGAGAGGTTCCGCTTCAGTGAAGCGGACACTTTGCAACGTTAGTTTTTATACACGCTGCCATGTAACCAATTGATGAGCATTTTATCTTCCTCTTCAAATATTGTATTAACAATTAATCAACAGAAATCAAAACAGGTTAAATGATAATAAATGATGGATTATCTCCGTTGCGATATTTTTCTACCTTTTACGTACGAAAAATGAAATGAAACAAAAATTAACTGCGTCAGAGTGCGAGACGTGAGAAGAATGTATAAATGAATATAATAGTCAGTAGCTCATAATATAAAAGATTACAGTATAATATAATGTTTAATGTTAATATAAAAATGTTTATAAATTATTGGTCGTCGATGAAGCATTATATTTTTACAAGAATATTAATGTTCGAACGTTTGTATGTGAATAAAATAATTATATGTTCGTATTTCGTTTTTTTTTTCTATATTAATCTTCACTCGACCAGTGAATACAACTACAGTTCTTTCGGGTTCCACTGCGATGACCTAAATTCTTTTTAACCGAGGAAAAAAGAAAGACACGGGAAGAAAGTAATTACGGTTCTGTGGAAATAGGTCAAGGTCCTGTAAATACATTTATTGGCATTACCATTGATTCATGTTAAATAAAAACGATCTATCGATTGAAAATCGATTTAACACTTTGTTCCTTTGCTCGAGGTGATATTATTATAGCAGTTGTCATATACCGTGTAATCTTACACTTTTAAATTGGTGATTGCTATACTTATATTCAATTTAACAATTATTCTTTTCTCCAAGCGTACTAGAAAATACTTTCATTTTTTTCTTTACACGTGTAAATACACATATCTTGCTTAGAATCTAACGTGTTATAAATCTGGCGTTTCGCAAAACGTTTGGACGAGTAAGTAAATAAAAAGTATCAATCCAAACACCGTATCATTAATTCATTTTTTTTTTGGGGGGTTGGGGGCATTAAAGGAAGAATAATATTTTCTTTTTATTACTACAGAAGAAGTATTTCGAGGATCCTTATTTTCTTGTACAAAAAAAACCGTCACTTCCTATTTCCAAAGCGACGCTCTTCATCATTTATATGTATAATTACGTATATATGGTATCTCAGAATCGACAAGATTCCATTTATGATATCGAACGTCTTCCGACGTTCGGAATTGTTTCAACGATTATTATATAATTTTTACTATTATCTAGATGCCTGGTTCCATTAATTTTCAACCTTCAGGTGACACTGATATAGAGAATAAATATGAAACAAATAGAAAGATACATACAGGATGACATATGCGCCTTTTAACCATAGAGATATTATCTCTATGCTTTTAACACGCAGAAGTCAATATTTCCATTTATTATATGCATCTTTATTAAAGAGTGTCAAAAAAAGGTTGAAGACTCGGGGCACTGACTAAAATAATATTGGATTTTCGTATTAATTAGACTAAGATATAATATACTTGAAAGAAAGGATAAAATTGGAGATTGGTAATAACATTTTCAAAGTTTCCCGAAAACATTCATAAGTATTTCTTCTACCTTCAATTAAAAATAGCAGCTGTGCTTTCAGCCTCTTCAGGGCTAATCCTAGAGGTGCTGTTTCAAAATGTTCCCGCCTAGCGTCGTTAGTTGGCGTAGCTATTGATGACAACAAAATCGATATTGACGTATTTTCGATAATCAAACATGGTTGACTCGCGTCTGCGATGTATTGTGCTAGGAGTTGACCGACGAAAAACGTGTGTCAGTTATATTTTTCAGTTATTTCAAGAGTAACAAATAGATCTTTGATTGCGCGTAAGTCATTAGAACACTGTTGTTTAGTTAATTCAGCCGGTAAGCATGTATAGTGTGTGTACTGTGATACAACTTCGTCGATGTTCCGACAGTATTGACACGGCTCTTAGAATACGTTGATGCTGGGTATGTACCTAATATTTAATTGACAGAATTATATTGTGATTCCCTTAACACTTTGGCGATCGATGTTTGATACAGAGACTCGCATTTCTAAACTCTTGCTACGTGTATAGAGATTGTTAATCGTTTGTAAAAGCAAGCTACCCTTGCTCCCATAACTAGTCGAATATTCACGCGGTCGTCATAATGTTAACGTGAAAAATAATGGATATTTTCTGACATCGTGGGTAACTTTGACTATTAATCTAATTAGATCGAGACGTAGCTGAATGATGTAGCGGTTCCGATGTGAATCTATCATACAAAACGTCATACAGGAATGGAGATCCGTGTGCAAGAGAATGGCGGCGAGAAAGGTAGGAATAAATAATAATCTCCATATTGTATGAATTACTAATTTCTAAGAGGAATGACTCCTCATTTGTCAGACACGGATTAACGTAGTTTGACATTCTATACAGAGACGTAAAGGCATGGATAAATCTTCGAGAATATATTCCAATTATAAAATTAAATATATTAGAATTATTATTAATAGTATACGAGTATTTATGATTATATTAATATTGAACCGTCATAATCGACGTTTGTGTTTCCTTATAATATTCGTCGTTAATCGTATATAATAAATATTAAATTGTCGATTCTCAAGTGAAACGTTTTAAATAAGAATTTATCAGCTATATATAGATTACAAAATTTCCTATATTAATTAGTAATTCCTACATCGATGTATCTTATTAATTTTTATTACATCGTATATCGATCAATTTCTATCACGATTACGCGAATATACTAGTCAGCAGCACCTCTAGTAAATCATTCAAGTAGACGCGGAATGCTAACAACGCGTATTACGATTTAGGGTCTAGCCCCACTGACGACACGACAACGACACGTAAAGAAAGGGCATAAATCGCGTTAATTCGTATTCTACAGATTCGTAGAAAAGATTCTCGTCGTCTTCTCGTTCATGAATTATCTAAGTTAAGGATTTGTAAGCGAAGGTAGCTTCATTCTGTTCCCTCTCGTCTTTGACGCGATTAGATGTCGAACAAAGAACTAGATTGTTGCTAGCGATATTATTCGCAATTCCAAATTTTAAAAATCTGCCGAATTGTACTATTCGATGTGTTTTACATTTCTATGACGCATCTTATCGTGCACGATTATTACTTACCCGATACCAACAATTCCATAATGTTCTCTTTTGTGAGACTAAGAGAAATAAGAAATAGGACGGAGTAAACAAAAATCGTCGAATACTTGTTACTTGTGGGGAACACGACTCGTTGTTTAAAAAAATAGAGAGAGAGAAGAAAAATATAGTCGCGCGTGATTTGACGCACTTAAAATACTTTGTACAGCGTACTATTTTGCACATTGTCTTTCGCGGGGCGTGCACCAACCGCGCGTCCCACTGGTAGCAACACAAAAGTCACGGCGATCGGAATCGTCAACCTCTCTCGACCGCGGGACTCGTGGCCGCGACTGGACTCGTTTGTTTTTGCTGAATTTGTTCCGGATGAGCTGGTCTCGTCGCGCAGCGTACACGTAGCAACCCGTAAGGTAACCAGCCGTTCGTCGAGTGCACCGGTCTATTGTTCTTTCTGCTGTCGACCGCCTCGCGCTGCGTCTGCAGCCGGTGCAGCATCGCGCCGGCTACTAGGGCAGATATCACCGCAGAAAGCGCTACGACGATGAACAGCGCGCTGAAACCGGGCATCGGCAGGCAAATACCGTAAACCACTTCCTCGCGTATTCTACCTTGGAAAACGGTCACCGCTTCCGCGTGAGTGTCCGGACTGAAAGCTAGATCAGCCTCGGAGATCACCTCGTACAACCCGCTCACGCCGACGTCGGCGCTGCGGATCTTCCTATCGGACACCACGACCGATCTCTTTCGTCTGCCGTTCGGAGACGAAAGAGGTGTCACTGGTAACACGCCGCTATCTCCTTCGAGATTTCGGGGCCCGTGAGGAAACTGTTCTTGATCGTTCTCGTACCGCGTCACCCTCGGAGGATCCTGTAAACGAGCGTTCCAAGTTTCAGTAACGAAACGACCACTACCTCATTAAGATCTTATCTCGTTCAAGAGAAAAGGTTCGACGAAATCTCGATCAGCTGATTTCATCTCTGTAGATTAGTTCGTTGGATAGGTTTAAACCGAGTGAAAAAGGAATGATCGTATAGAAGGTTTAGAGGAAAGTGAGATATATTTACCACGAATGGTCTTGAAAGATCGGCATCGTCCGACTGATGTTCTTCGTTCGGTGTCTCAACGACCGGCGCCGGTAGCCGGTTGCTTGTTTGCGCCTGTGCCTTCGGTACTGACTTCTCGACTCCCAAGAAGTGACCCCCTATCGAGGTCATCTCATCACCATCTTGAATGATGTCATCGTAAAGGGAACCGTCACCTTGCTCGGCTCCTCCTCCCACGTTTTCGTTGTTCTTGTCGGCACTGTTGGTCTCGTCGCCGTGAACGGTGGGCGGTGCTGTGGTCTGCGGATACTGCGGTCGTATCTGATCCTTGCGCTCTTGAATGTAGTGGCCGACAGATCCGCTCAGTTGACAGTGATCCAAACATCCGTGACGACAGATCTCAACCTTGACATTGATCAAAACGAGTTATTACTACCACGAGCCTCCCCTCTAATCACCGTTTCTCTCGTCTTTTTTCTAAACATCAATTTACATAATGAACAGTCCTGTTATTTAACACACTCGTACGCAAAGCAAATTCATTAAGCCGCTCGTTCAGCTGTTTAATCGCAAATATTTGCCGCTTACCACGGCGTACGAGCCTCTCGAAGTTAACGCGAGCCACGCCGGAGGTAGCTTCGCGGCGTGTAACAATATTTTGACTCGCCGACAATCGGTGTTTTCGATCGCGCAAATTGTTTCACCCGTCCCGTATTACCCGACGTCGTTTACCTTGCACTTGATGTGCACGCTCAACGCGTCCGGGAACTTGAACGCGTGGAAGAACGCGTAAGTGATGACCGTCGCCCGGTCGTCGGAGCCTCGCGCCTTCAGGAATCGGCTGATCATCTTCGGCCTGAGGACGCATCCGAACTCGTCGCTCAGCTGTATCGTGTGTCCGCCGCCGTCTGAGGCCACGCACGATTTCACACGCATATCGAACTCCCCTGCAGCGAACCAATTACGAAATTCGTGTTAACAAACGAACAGTTCCGACGACCGTCGCTGTTACCCATTCAAATTCTGTTCGTTACCGCTGTTACCTCGATAATCATTTATAGCGACGACCAAAGTGAGGGTGGAGCCGAGTGGTACTATTCCCGAGACCGGCGGTGCCCAAGGTCCCTTGCCGTGCTGGATTTCCATCCAACAGTCCACGTTGTCCCCTACAATGTCGATAGAACAGCAAGCTCGTATTTGTACTCCGTTTCAGAGGCAGTTTCCTCCCTCTCGCTCTCTCTTTAAACTTGGCGTGCCAGGTGCGATTTATACGTGTTGTATAAAGTGAAATTAAGTGGCGCGGCTGCGGTTCCACCTGTGGTCAACCGCGGCTACACCACGATTTACCATGTGCGCGACGCGATCATTTACCTTGTATTAAACTCTTCGCACAAGAGGATCATCGTTTCGCCTATTCATTACGTGTTCGTAAAACCGCGCGTGGTAAAGTGTTGTCAGCATAAATCGCGGGATATCGTAAATTAGATTCTTTATGTTCGAATATTTTACGATTCTACGAATGGGGAGCATTAAACATCGAGAAGAAAAAATATATTCTGTAACTATACCTCTGAAGTCTAATTGTATTACGTCGAGGTCTGCGATGACCATTGGCGGTTTCGAAGCGGTCTTTTCGTAATCGTTGAACCATTCGCATCGCAATCGTTTGGCCTCGTCCCAGACTTCTAGCAAATCTTTGTCGTATTGAACGACGACGGTGTTCTCATAGAACTGGCCGTGCATGTCTGGTTTGGTGCCGCATCTGCGATCAGGCAAGCAAAATCTCAACTAAACATACCACTCGTTAGGCAACACTTTTCATTTAATCTCTTTAATCGCGGACGTGTAAAACTGGTGAAATTGATTCATCGTTCAGCAAACGACTGCTAATTAAATCCGACCGCTCGTCCAATTACTCTCCATCGCGTTTGCGAGCCGGTTCGCGCTCCGCAACGGTTCCGATTAGAGTCATAAGTTATCGATTTTCCATGGTGCTCGCGATAAGCCGCGCCGGCCGAGCATTAACGTCTCCGCACGTCTTAAATCCTCTGATCGAGTCGAACGTGCGGTACGTTTATCCGCGGAGATGTTCCCGCGAGATAGACACGGCCCGTCGGACATGTACTGTACGCGAAATCTCGATCACCCTTACCTCGCGTAGGCTATCCGAAAGGAGAAGAAAGTCTGGCCGGTGGACGGCGGGACGTAGACGCATCGCGGGTCGGCGTGTTGACCCTTAGACGAGACGATGCCCTCGAAGGGCTGGGAGAACGATAGGTGTACGTCCATGTGATCCTTTCCGCACATCACTTCGAGGGACTGTATGGCTGGCATTCCCTCTGGCCTTTCCAGCGGCCAAATGTCGCTGTTGCTACCGACGCTCTTCAAGCCAACCACCTGTGCACATGCAAAGAATACATTTTTCCACCTTGAACCCGGCGACCTCTCCTTCCTTTCTCACTGCCTCGCGCCACCGGTTACCGCGGACGCCTTCTATGAATATCGTTCAGCCACAAAGTTACCGCGCGTAAATCACGCAGTCCGGCACTCACCGCTCGGACCATTGTAACGAAATTTATTGCGAATTTATCGGTACTTTGAAGTCTACGTCTGTATCCGCCGTTCATTAGCCCATTACCTTGCAATAAAGGGCAGCGGCATAATGATTGATCTAACCACCACGTGACCCCATAATCTTTTTTGATAAATCGTTAATCACGCGGGAAACGTTCATCTTCTACCGAATGGTACTTCGCGCGAGTTTTAATCCAACGAATTCATCCTGTCGCCTATAAAGAAATATTTCAATATAAAGAGTCCCATAAATCAGAGGAAAAAGTCCGGGATTCATCATCGTCGAAGAGTGTTTTAAGGATGTATTGGCTATACAGTCAATCCCAAAAGTTTATGCACTTTAGAAACGCATTTTTTAAAAAGAAATCGGACGTCGGAAGAACATTGCTAATAATAAACAACAAAAAAAAATTTTCGATTTTTCCGAGATTTTTCCAAGGGGTACCCCTTCAATTTCTTCCAAATTTTCGTTTTT